TTAATTACTTGATTCAACAACATTTCTTCTGTCATTTCATCTCTTAGATTATTTAAACAAATGGAAAATACTAATTTCTCCCTATGGGTACCTCATGGGTCAACAGTAGAGCCAGAACAATTAGATCAACACCACAGACCTCTACGATACTTGAGTTAATTAAGTAACTGCTAGGCAGAGCGCACTGCCCTTTAATACACAGCCCAGTGCCGGCAGAGACTAGACATGGAACTGCTTCCTCCAAGCAAGAATCCTTCTGTCCTTGCCCACCACTGCTGCCCATCCTGCTGTGTGCCCTCTGCTTCAAGTTCTGGCTTGGTGATGGTGTTGTGTAGCCCAGCTAAAACATATCTTTGAGAAGAATTTGGATTCCTGCCCTCCAGCAATCACGCTCGTGCTTCCAGGCCAAGTGCAAGCTATGCCCCCAACCCCAACTTGCCTCTGCCACCACCTCTGCTGTTCTCCCTTTTGGAGACTGCCCACTGCCTTTTGTTAGGAAGCTCCTTCATGCATCAGAATTCCCCTCTCAGCACCTGATCACAGAATCCTAGAATTATGAAAGTTAGAAAAGACCTTTAAGATCATCAAATCCAACTGCAGACCTAACACTGCCAAGTCCACCACTAAACCACATACCTAAGCGCCACGTCTACACGTCTTTTAAATACCTCCAGGGATGGGGACTCAACCACTGCCCTGGGCAGCCTGTTCCAACACCTGACCACTCTTTCCGTGAAGAAATTTTTCCTAATATCCAATCTAAACCTCTCCTGGCACAACTTGAGGCCATTTCCTCTTGGCCTATCGCTTGTTACTTGGGAAAGGAGACCGGCACCCACCTCACTACACCCTCCTTTCAGGCAGCTGTAGAGAGCGATAAGGTCTCCCCTCAGCCTCCTTTTTATGTTAAACAGAAAATACACACATATGCGTGCGTGTGCGCTCAACTGCCACATAGAAGTGAACATTACTTTCAGCAATTTAGTGTGTGAAAAAACAGATCCTTTAAAGAAAAACATACCAATTCATACTTTAAAAAAAGCATATATAGAAATTGAAAATAACTGAAATGTATTTAATCTCAAACAGGAGTTCTATCTCTTCCAGACCCTCCCAATTTCTCCAAAGCTTCAATTCAAAGGAGGTTGGAACTAGGTTCTTTTAACACAACTTGTGTAAGGTGCAATTACAGAACAGCAAACCTGATCCTACCAGCTCTGCTCACCGGAGTGTGTATTATCAAGATGCTGAAGGAACACAGAACGTGAATACATGATATTTGAAGCTCATCTGTGCTACTCTAGATGGATACAGAATCAGAAACAAAAAAGCTGCCACTTAAAATTTTTAACTTCATACAAATGTAAGCTGTCACAAAATACCTTTGCATTGTGTTCATACTACTGGGAAAAGCTGCCATTCTTTTATTAACAATTCTTCCCAGCATCACTCAGTCACTGCACATTAGAACCAGCAGCTGGAGAGTTTTGAGTGATAATGAAACCTGTAACAAGCCATCTTCGGCCGTCTTTTCCAAACAATAAGGGAATTAAAATTTCAATTTGAATGCAGAGGTTTGAAACACGCTTCAGTGGCAAAATTACTTCAATTAATGTGAGCGGAATACAAAGAACAGACTGCAGAAATGTGATGCAGCAACCAGAAATTATGCCATTAGAGTGCTTGCATCAACCTAACACGACGACTGCAGAGGTCTAATTTTGACTGTACATATCACAAGGCTACAGGCAACAATATTAATCAGTGCTCCAATTTCAATGTGAGGGATACAAGCTCCTTGTCAGATCACTTGGGGCTTTTATATGCCATGAGCATCTGTTTACCTTGAGAAATGAAACAAAAGGACAGAGAGATCTATATACACTCTGCATCCCTGACAGTTTAGTAATTATTTTACATAATATTCATATCATATAAGAGGAGAAAGGAATTATCCTGCAGCCAGTGAGTGATTACAGTATCACAGCCTTACAGAGGCAGTCTTAGAAGATGGCAAAAGCCAATGAGCCTACAGCAATTTTTGTCTATGAAAAAGCTCCAAAGGCAGGTAGGTTACTATTTCTTTATTACAGGTACATTTGACTTCAAATGAGAATTGCAAGTGTCAATGAACGGCTGAAATAGTGTGTTCCATCTTCACTTGAGGTTTCTCTGCGTTCCTTGATATATTGAAAAAAACCAAACCCTAACAGCTGCTTTTTATATCATTATCATTTGATTTCTTCGAAAAGATACTCTATTCTGGAAAAAAACCAACCAAACAAACAACAGAAAACAGCATGGTATACTACAGAAGTCCGTACTTCAGTGAGGTCTAATATTGGCTCTATCTCATAGCCTTGGGCAACCTTACCTACACGCACACATATAGACATACACACATACACCTGTAAGTGTGCATACAAAAAAAACCCTGCACACACAATATATTGCAAACCAGCAAGATATCACAAATACACGTATTGCAAACCATTTCTAAAGCATACTGTATGATAAATCCTAAGTATTGTTATTTTTCTTCTTTTGAAGAAGATATTCCTATCTGATATTCCAGATAGGAAATTAATTACTTGTCTGGAATTTCCTTCTGAAAAAAACTTTTTTGAATTTAACAAAAAAAACCCAAACACCAAACCAAGAAAACTGGCAAGTCCATCAGTAAAAGAAAACACCAACATTTCAACTGATACTGATGTTAACTCTGAATACCATGGTTTTTCCCCTACACTGAATGCCCTTAATTTACATCTACTTCTTCATCTCTCATAATTGAAAATCAGATGAACATCACACTCCAATTTCCTATATCAGAAACCTGACAAAAGTTTTGGCCAAACCTGACTGCACTCTTCTCATATACACTGCCTCGTCATTGCATTGTTGATCTGTTTTCAAGAATTCTAATACATTTTACAAAACATTTCATAAAGTATCATAAAAATTCCACTCCACATTACACAACAGAAATGTATACACTACCCACCTCAGCTTACAATACAGTGGGAAAGAGATAAGACAACAGTTCATATTAGAAGGAGTGAGACTCTAAGGAGAGTAAGATTGAGAGGGTTCCTGGAAAATAGTTTTAAAAAGGAAGAAAGGAAAAATTGTGACCAGAGTATAGAAAGATGATTGCACCAGGTGTGGCATGAAAACAGAACATGAGCAACAGAAAATAAACCAGGAAGGTGACGGCAGAGTGAAATCAGAGAAGAGGATGTGACAGCAACAACAAAAATCCAGATAGGGTTACACACGCCATCAGAGAAAGGGACAAGGAGACTGACGTCAAACTGTTGAAAATGTTTCAGAGGGAACAAGGTAAGTTTTAGACAATCTTACTTAAGGTAAAATGAGATAAAAAGGAAAGAAGGAAATTAAAGTTTAAGTCTGGCCTCTAGGAATATGAGGTGACAACACTAAGATTTCCAGCTCTTCATCCTATTGAATAATGACTTATTAAAAAGAAGTGAAGAGGCACAGCTAAGAGCAATACAAAGGATAGTAAAGTTGAAAAAAAAAAAAACAAAACAGTAACAAAGACAGGCAATGAAAAGATTTCCTTAAAGGCATTCTCTGGCAAACACAAAGAGGGATATGAACAGACGTACTTCTTTTGCCTTCACTTTTGAATCACAGGCTGCTTAAGGTTGGAAAGGACCTTTAGAGAACATCTAATCCACCTCCCTGCTCAAGCATGATCACCTAGAGCCAGTTGTCCAGGACCACGTCCAGTCTGGTTCTGAACATTTTCCATGGATGGAAACTCCTCAACCTCTCTGGGCAACCTGTTCCAGTGTTCAACCATCCTTACAGTAAAAAAAAGTGTTTTCTTACATTCAGACTTAATGTCCTATGTTTTAATCTGTGTCCTTTGCCTATTCTCCTGTCACTGGGCACCACTGAGAAAAGTCTGGCTCTGTTTTCCTTGCAGCCTCCCATCAGACATTTACAACCATTGACAAGATCTCCCTGAGGTTTCTCTTTAAGTGAAACAGTCCCAGCTCTCTCAGCCTCTCCTTATATGCGAGATGCTCCTGTCCTTTAACCATGCCTTAACCATCTTTGTGATCCTTCACTGACTCAATCCAGTAACTCCATCTCTCTCTTGTACTGGAGAGCCCAGAACTGGACTCAGCACTCCACATGTCAGGACTGAGTCAAGGGGAAGGATCACATCCTTTGTAAAGTTTTTAATTACTGGTAGAAGACACTTCCAGGAAAGAAAGGACTGAAGCCTAGTGAGGAAGTGTGCTTGTTAAGTTTAGAAACAAGAGAAAAAGAAAAAAGATTGTTATTAGAAAAGTTCAGGAAACTCCCACTGCCACCACCAGACTGGAATTGAAAGGTATGCTTATAAGAGATGGAACTAAAAAGGAAAAACACTTGAAGGGAGGGAGAAAGAAGATTTAAAAATTGCTGGAAACACATAGAAAGGATTAAGAGTCCTGGTAAAAGACCTAGAGGAAGACAATGAGAGGCAAACACACCGAAATAGTCAAAGGCAGTCTCCCCTCTGAATAATGACCAGAGTTGTGAGTGCATTCTGGGAGATGAAATGGGAAACGGGATAGTTCTTCCGTAACAAAAATGGTTTTGAACTAATGGATAAGATATGAAGAAAGAAGATGATACAGGCAGGTGTCCAGGAAATTAATTTTGAACTAAAGCACCAGGTCGCAAAAGCAGAAGGAAATCCTATGTACAGATCAAATGGGTAAAGAACTAGACTGTTACAGAAAGCATCAGGATCAGGACAAGTAAACAGGTAGACAGCTCTGAAAGACAAGAGCTAACCAAACAGGATGGGAGAAGGATCAAAACAAAACCAAATGGAAATGGCAGTACAAGAAAGCAGCGAATGACAAAAGAAGAAACTAAGCAGGAAAAAAAGCAAGTAATGACACAGAGAGCAGATGAACAGACAGCTGACCAGTGTGTGACTGGTGGGTACTGGCCCAGGAGGTACCACATCTTACCAGCATGTCTGTTGCCTTGAGGTAGTGCTTGCTGGCCATGCACTGTTCCAGCTTCTGAGGCACTTGCTTGATGTTCTCTATCTCGTCCAGCAAATTCAGGACATGTTTGTGCTCAATGCCTTCAATCCACAGCTTGCGCAACTCATCCCGCTTGCAATGCAACAGCATCTTGCATGATAGCAGATTCTCCTTCACCTACAAGCAACATGTCAAAAGATTAATTAAATCTGTCCCTGTAACTGGCACTTCTAACACAGATCAGCCCTTTCCCACATTTACTTTATTAGTAATTCCAAAAATATCAGAAGACTATAACCAAATCCAAGTTCTTTAAAATTTCTGGTTATTCCTTTGGCTGAAAGGAAACATGTAGTCCATACAAACCGGAACTGTTTTCATAGTCAAATGCTTTTTAGTACAAGTTTTCTACCGCTAGTGAAAACTTAACTGAACTATCATAACGTGAAACAACGCAGGATCCTATTAAGCATGACCAAAGACTTATTTGCACGTTTTCCAAAAATCAGTTCAGTATTTTGGCATACAGAGAGAATCTAATTTTCAGTGAAAGCAAATAAGCCACTACTAATTTTTCTGCTGTAAACATTTTCCATCTGCCTATTAAATCTTTTGGCACATCTCCTCCTTTCTTCGAGTTTGGTATCCATTTCTTGAAACCTGACTATCTAAGAGTACAACCATTTTCCTAATACCTCGAGCAATACCGATTTTTTTTTATAAGAGATATGGTGTCATCAGAACAAATAGCAGTTAAGACACAGTTCAATTCAGCATTTCCATTATTTATCACAGGCATTATATCACCCAGAGAAACACCTCGGTGTTTGCCATTCAGTTTGGTTTTGAGCCCCATGCCATCCTCTCTAAATGGCAAGGTCTCTACTATTCTACCCCATTCGGGAAACATCAAGGGTTTTTCTTCTCCATTCTTTCTGCTCAAACGTGCAGCCTGCATTCCCTGCTTTCAAGTTCTCCCAGTATCCTCTGGAAAGGTCAGTATAACCTAGCTTTCCTTGCATAATGCAAATCAATAATACATATTAAAATATGGAAGCAATTAGCAACACAGCTTCACACATTGCTTTCACACTACTCTTGTTTTTGTGATAAGTTATGAATACTTAGGGTCCAACCTTTTCTCAGGCTGAACTCTCACTGAATTACACATGAAGAGAGAGTCTCAGAAGTAGGCCCTCAATTTTTTTTAAAATAATGAGCCTTCAAAACACTCCAGAAATCCCACTTCAGCTGCACATTCTCCTACCTTGTCCATCTAAAGGCAGTTTAAAAAAATACATGCGACATACATAGATGGACCAAAATATAGACAACAGGTTAATAACAATAGCTACATAAGACAGCCTCCAGAGTCAGAAGAGACTAAGATTTCATACAGTAACGTTGCACTCCGAAATGTCTTTCTGAAAAGAGTAACAGAAAAATCCTCAGCCAACAGAAAAGCTAACGTAAGAGCGTCACAACTTGCTGCAAAAGCAGAGGCAAACTAAAATGCGTACAGAGTTCATTTCAGACTTAATCCCTGTTCAATACCTTAATTTAAGATGTTTCACTGACCTAGCACACCATCAGCAGTGGACTGTGTTACACAGAGCCAAACTGGGTCAGCAAAACAATTGCGGGGCTAGAAGGACTCTCACAAGACATTCCTACTCCTGTCCTTGCAAGAAAGAAGATCAACTACATCCACATTTGGGAGCAGGGGAAGGAATGAACAGCAAGTCTTAAGAAAGAGCCTCCCCTTGGTAGGCCAAATTGTTTCTACGTTATAATTCAGTTTTGCAGTGGTAACACCTCTAAAGCTAGATTCAAAACTAAACCCTTCCCAACAGGAATTCGTACAAGTATTGACTACAAAATATAGACATACAGAGGGATTTGGACTATCTATCACTTCCACAATTCCTAATGCAAGTAAATATCTGTGTGATCATCTACCTTCCACAAGAGGAGAACATCAAAAGGAAGTCTGATAGTGTAATACAGATTGATGACAAATCAGATCTGGGGCCTCCCATGAGATTAGGTCAAAGCTACTTCAATACATATTGACCAAAACTAATAAGAAAACTTAAATATCAAAAGGTCCTTCACCTTTACAGTCATTCTTCTAGGCGGACCAAAAGGTCACACCCCTATATGTTTGTTTTGACCTCTGCAAAGCTTAGTATACTGTGTGAAAATAGGCCACTGGCTACAGTTTATTTCAAATTTAGTGCAATTGATCTCTGCTTTCAAAGTGCTGAGCTTTGTACATAAATCCTAGAACGAACTCGTACCCTTGGAAAGCATCAGAATGGTCTCATTTTCTTTGAAAATGCTAAGTGAATTTTAAAAGCCAGAAAGGTCAGTACATAACCCCAGAAGGGTAAAAGCCTATTGCTCCTAAAGCACTGCTGTGAAAGGTTTTAAGCTGAGACCTCCGCAGAGGAAAAAAAAGAAATTGAATAAATTTGGTGCTTAGTTTGCAAAGTTTAGGTATAGCAAACTACACAGGAAGTAAAAGATAGGACAAGAGTCCAAAGAACTAATCTATCGCTGCAGAGAGAGAGCAGATGGAACAAGTCCACAACAAAGAGTGCCAGAGTTATTTACTGGCACGCTACTGAAGTGTGAGCACTCAAAATACAGAAAGATACGGGCGCACAGAGTTCATGTACATTCACACAACAGAACTGAGTTTGGAAATAGTACCAAAATTCATATTCTCTGAGCGAAAAGCAAGCTGATGAATCACCCAAACTATTTAGGAGGTGGTTGGAGGCCAACATATCAAAACATGAACAGATTAGATGAAAAGGTGTTAGCTTAGCAGCCCTTACACTTCAAAAACCTGATAGCAACACGTCCAGACAATAAATGAACAGGAGGCACCGCAAAGCTTTACGCTTCATATCCACCTCTAGTTTTGCTTTTTAATTACTCGTGTTCTCAAACAACAGAGAGAGATCCTATGGAAAACATGTTGCTAGCAAGACATAGCCTGTGACCACCGTACTGGGACTGGACGGTTTGCTCCTAGCCATGCCACAGAGCAACTTGAAAATCAGGCCTAGTTCAGAATTAGCGGGCAACGGTGCTTTCTCAATTCAATTTTTAGTTCAGTTCAGAATGATGACGAGAAGCTGGGAAAAAAAAGGGAGGCAGAAATAAAAGGTTAAAATGGGAGCTTACAACATTACGCTACAATAAAAGGACAGCACACAAGGAAAAGAGAGAGAAGTTGCACAGATCTGTACTCAGACTACACGCTATCGAGCGGATGCAAACAGAGAAACACACGCAGAGCTAAACTTCACCTGTTTGATCTTATTGCGTGAGTTCGTGATGCGCTCTGTGATGCTCTGGTATGTGCGGATCGCAGTGGTGAGCTCGGTGTAGTGCTGGACAATGAGTTCATCCAAATCCCGGTCACATTTCTCATAAGCTTCTTCCAGGCGGCCTTTCTCAGTCTCTCGGTCCTCAACATCATCACTGGTAGATAAAGTCCTAAGGACAAAAAGATTACCAAAATAGGGATATTTTGAAATTATCTATAAGGACAGGAAGCCTTTGCCTAAAAAAAATGCACTTCCTACTGCAAACTAGTCACTCCTACTAGTCTACACACTTGACTGAATGAAGCTTATTCCTGGTAAACATGTCTGCCTGGTGTTCGGTAGAGAACAATATACTTCAAGAAAATAAAAACCCCATAAATATTGTGGTTTATTACTTCCCCAATTTTCAGATGCTTCGGAGCTTTTAGTACACTACTGGATTTATGAAAAGGAAAAGTTATCTATTAGTTATCATATTTCCAGAGCATCATTAATATGAGCACAGTATAACAGATGAAATATATCCTGATTTATTAGTTACAAAGAACTATAAAGAAGAAATTCTACTTTAGACTCAGGGACCAGTGCAACTATTTGTTAGGAGTGTTGCAGTTACTACTACTTACCTGCCAAAAGTACACTAGGGATATTACAAGTACATAGAAAAATCCACCAAAAGCCTACCCATGCCTTCCAATAGTCAAGTCTGTTTTCAGACGTACACCAGTACAGCAAAGAAGTGTCATGGGCCCTTCTTTCCCCCCTCATTTATTTTAACCTCCAAATAACATCATCCAGTATGATTTAAAAAAAAAAAAAAAAAAAAAAATCGAAGTTGAGATTCCAACAAATCTGTTGAAAATTTAATGAAACTGGCACAGGAGACAAAAGTTTCTTGGTTTCATTCCAAATTTCTGAGATTTACTCAAGAATCAATACAATCTCCTCCTCCTCCCTCTCCCTCTTAACCCTCGAGACCCATCCTGCCACCGCATCCAGAAGCCCACACCTGGAATGACTTGATCACACTACCAGAAAGACCCAGGAGACAGCAGTAGGCAAAAAGACATATTATCTCCTACAGTAGGTAGCACTCAAAAAGTTTCTTTCTGCAAAAGAGTCATCCTAAATTTTCCTCTTCATTTACCCTTGGAAGGGTAGCTATGGTCCATACAGGTGTCTGTTTTAAATCAGCAATACAGACATTGAAAACTGTATACTTCATGGTGAAAAAGAAAAAAATCATTTAGAATCAGTTATAGTAGTTACGATCTAAACACTGGTATACCACAACCTTAAGAACCAGCAGGGATGAATTCTGTAGCTCTACTGACAATTTCTGAACCACTTTGAAGAACTTATGATGAGAAAAATAAGCAAAAAATAAAGATATTAAAAGAAAAAAAATCACTGCATACAGACTGCTTTGGATGATATGCTTGAACATCATGAAACAATCGTAACTTTCAAAGAAATCCGGAGCATCTACTCGCTGAAAGTGAGATGCCTTTAAAAATACAACCACTAGAGCATGAACATGTGGAGACCATTATTTCATTTAAATCACAGAAGTTTAGGCCTCTGAAATGAACTGAGGCACTGTCTTAAGATGGTATGCATGCTACACTGAAAGAGTATAAAGATAGCAAGAGACTGGAACAAGCATGGTTTCCAACCCTGAAGACTTTGAAAAAATACACCACCAGAAGTAAGAGAACTTCTTGAGCTTTTTCTGGATTTCTTAAGCTCTTTGTGTGGAAAAGGTCAAATAGTTGGAAGGAAACAAAAAACCCATTGCTGAACACTGCTGCTGCTCTCTGCTACTGTTAATGGCTTTCACTTTGGATTTGTTAAAGCAATGAGGTCCATTCAAACTAAAACCAGTACCTCCTGCTGTCAAGTAAGAAAGAAAATACCAATTTTTCTTGCAATAACAGTCACTTGTCCTCTAAAGTAAAAGTCAAAAGGTAAACGAGAACTGCTTGCACATCATTGAAAAATAACAAAGGGGACAAACCTATTTCCTTATGTTTTATTTAGGAGTATCTTCAACGACAACAAGCAGGACACAAGGAGGGTTAGTATGTGATAGATTTTTCTGAATTCTTCAATACCATTAGGAAACTAGTAGGAACTCAAGTGCAAAAGCTCTTCTCAAATAAATGTAAACAAAAAACTTAACTCAAACATACAAGAAATGCTCCCTCTCTCTCAGAAAGTCAGCAGAGACATACCCAAAACCTCCAGTTCACTACTCTTTCTTCCCTTCAAAGAAAACAACAGGCTGTACCACCTACTCAAGGATTCCAACTTTAAAAAGAAAAAAGAAAAAAAGCCTTTTCACAGGGGATCGCGATCCCAGAAAGAGCAGCTAAGAAAACTCAAGTGAGCAAGGAAATCTGTACTACCATATGGAACACGGCACGAGAGGAGGACAGGCGCACACGCACACTTGTCTTACTCATCTACCAAGGAGGACAGAGGAATTACAGCCAAAATATATCCTACAACACCCTAAAAGAAGACAATGTACACAAGTGATGTATTTTACTTTACACAGTTTTAACAGTCCTTTTCACTTTCAGATGGCAGTGGCAGAAACCCATAACAGATACCACATGGAAACGAGAAGACATCCTCTTTTGTTATGCCTCAGATTATCAGCGTGGGTGCCTCACACCCTCCTCCCCACTCCCAGATACCAAGAGCTGCACATTTTACAGGGGATGCAGGTGCACCTCTCCTCTTGCACAAAGAACACGCAGAGATGAGGACCCCCCTTTCCATTCCACTGACAGCGTAGCTTCTTCCAATGCATAAAATGTATTTGTAGCATTTCAAGTTCCATGCTTCACAGTAGCTACAGAAACAGGAATGCTTTCTTATGTTATTACACTAATATTCTACTCCCAAACATTCTTACTTGTGCCTTAAACCACATTTAAAAAAAATATATATTTTTCTTAATTTGTACTGTATGCAAAGCACTTTAATGTCACAAAAAAAAGACCTGGAAAGTAAGAACAGTAGTACAGGAGTTTGAAAATAAGCCTGTGTCCTGGTTGTGGCTGGGATAGAGTTAATTTTCTTCCTATAGCAGGCACAGTGCTGGGTTTTGGGTTTAGTAGAAGAATGTTGATAACACGCTGATGTTTTAGTTGTTGCTAAGTACTGCTTATGCCAGTCAAGGACTTTTCAGCTTCCCATGCTCTGCCAGGTGCACAAGAAACTGGGAGAGGGCACAGCCAGAATAGTTGATCCCAACTGCCCAAAGGGCTATTCCATACCATGTAACGTCATGGGCAGTATAGAAACTGGGCGGGGGGGGGGTTGGCCGGGGGGCAGCAATCGCTGGTCAGGGACTGGCTGGGT